TTCGCCCTCCCCACACACTGGGCTTAAGTGTGCCCCAATGGGGCAGCAATAATAGAGTTGCCCCTCTTAGCGAGGGGAGTATGGCCTAGTAGCTCTAATCAGTACATTCGCCCCCGAAAGACAGGTCAGTAAAGCCAGGCAGCCAGAGTACATAAATTCACACTTTTCAGCAGGGTTTATACACACTACAAATGGAACATTTGTCAGTTACATGTGGTTCTCCTAGACCAGTAGTCACCAACCAGTAGATCGGGATCTACTGATAGATCTCAGAGCCTGATGGATGATCCTGACTGGTTTGGTCAAGTGGCTATTAAGTGCTGGTACTTCAGCTGCCCCTCCGCCCACTGCTGCGCACCTCCTGCCCTTGCCCTTTGCCTTGGAGCTGCCTCCCACCATCCCCAGGAGCCTCCTGCTTGCTAGGCAGTGAAAGGAGAAGGGCACTGGTATCAAAGTGCCCCCTCCCACTCTGTATCCTATCTCCACAGAGCAGAGTGGGGAGCAGAACAGGACTTGGGATGGAGTTTGCTGATTGCTTTTGGGAGTAGTGCAGGGCCAGGGCAGGGGTGAGCCCTGCCTTAGCCCCATCGCACCACCAACTAGGAACCACTTGAGGTAAGCAGTGCCCAGTTGGAGCTCACATCTTGAAACCCTATCCCAGTCATGAACCCCTCCTGCATCTCATGGCCCTACCCCGAGCACCCCTCGCTGTGCATGCAAATGCCCTCCCAGGGTGTGCACCTAGAACCCCCTCCAGCACCCCAACTGCCTGATCCATACTGAGCTCAGAGCCCCTCTCGCACTCCAAAACCCTTAATCTAAGACCAGAGCCTATACCCCAACCCTCTTTCCCAGCCTGGTGAAAGTGAGAGAAGATGGGCAAGGAAGGGAGGATGGAGTGAGCAGGGACAGGGCCTTGGAGAAGGGGCACAAAGGAGGTGGGACAAGGGTATTTGGGTTTGAGGTAGATCTTGGATTGCACTTTAATTAAAAAAGTGATCTCATGCTTTCAAATTTTGGAGACCACCGTCCTAGACAAACCTAGGCTAGTGAGTGGCTGCATGAGTGGCCTTACTTCTCAGTGGGCCACAAAATTGTTTTATCAAAGACAGACTTCCAGAAAAGGGTAGTTTTGTTAATTGCACTTGAGTATCTAGAATTTGCAGGATGTACTGATTGAACCATAGCAGAACTTTGATTGAATACAGAGGGAGTGCACAGCTCTTATAGTCAATGTTGAGCACAATCAGCACACGTCACTTCACACGAACCTGCTTTGTGTGTATCACTTTAGTAATACTGGTGAAAAGGTATGCAGACTGAAACCAATGGAATTTGGCAGCTCTGCGCATGGGTAACAGTAATAGTAGTAGTAGTAATAATAATAATAATTAAAAAAAATTTTTTTTTTTAAAAGTCTTGCAGGTCACACACAGAACCCCAACAGGCCCTCTATGGCCCTTGGACCATAAGGTGCCCACCACCATCTTAGACATTTAAGGCAGCTGGGTGGGGAGAGATCACTTACTTGCATAGGCCTGTTACATAAACCACAGGCTTTGAAATCAGGAGAATGGGGTATTAGTCTGGTAGAAACCTTTGTACTCAACCAGGCTCACTAAAAACCACTATTCTAAGCTTATTCTTACAACTATTTACAGTTATACTGTCCAAGACTAAGAACAGATATGACAGGAACTACAGGTTGCACCTCCCAAATCTGGGATTCTCGGTTCTGGCATTGGTGCTTGACCATGTATGTTCTTGGATTAGAGACTTCTGAAGCAGGAGGGCCAGCAGCTGGGAGCCCGGTGCAGTCCTGGGAGTTTGGTAGTGGCGGGGTGGAATACAGTCAGGGCTGCCTGCTGCCTGCCAGCAGGGCCGGCACCACAGCAGCCCAAGGGGGTGGGAAGAGGAACCTGTCTGGGCTACATCAGCCTGGGTGGCAGTGGAGCTACAGTACCCTGGGTGGTGGCAGCAGAGCTGCAGTAGCCTGGATGGTGGTGGCAGCAGGACTGCAGTATTCTAGGAGATGGTGGAAGCAGCAGTGTGATTGAGGCTGTCCAGGGCCACAGAACCTGGCAGAATCAGTGTGGCCCAGGCCATGTGCCACCCCGGCAGTGGGGCTGGAGCTGCAGCAGACCAACTGGGCAGCATGCCGTTCGGTGGTGGGTTTAAAGCTGCAAGCCACCTGGCCAGAAGCGAAGCTGGAGCTGGCCAGCAGACAGCCCAGTTGCACCTAAGGAGCTGGCAGCAGGCTAAGAGGCTAATGTCGGAGACCTCTCATTGTCTGGCAAATTCCCTGGGAAAAAGCTTAATTCTCCATGCACAAGTTGCAGACACACCTATAGTACAAGTAACATCTGCAATATCTTGAAGAAATGGGAGTCAAGCATGGACATTGACCCTATTCAACTCCTTTACCCAGTCTATACCAAGGGTAAACTTAATGTCTGTTGCCTCCTAATACACAGGAAAGTGTGCCTATCTACAAGGGGAATATTTGTAGCAGCATGGCCAATAAAAACATCTCCAGTATAAGTGTTTAGTTCTATGTTGGGGGAGATAGATTTAAAAATTAGGAAGTTGTTCAGCACTTAAAAAAAAATTAAGATCTTTAGCATTCAATTTTTTGATAACAAAAGACAGCATATAAATCTTTGCATTGCAGCTTTGCTAACACTGATCCAGTCAAACAAAAACATTTTTCAAAAACATTTTTAACAAACTGTATTACATAAGTGTGTCTGAAGATTTATTTGTGCAAGGAATTACTCCATTTGTGATGGAAGGCAGCTCAAAGCCAATAAACTTCATTGAAAGTTTTAAAAAAGGGTATTTGTCGTTTCAGCTGTACTGATCATAGTTTTGAAACTTTGGAAAAAGTCCTCAACTGAATTATCAAGAGAAATAGCATATTCCTTTCAAAAGTTAGACTGATACATGTCAAAAATTAATAGCTATCCTGAGCCAATGGATCATTGGAGTGTGTACACTCAAAATAAGGCTTATAACTGAACCCTGGCAATCTTAACTATGATGTTATGATCAATTCTTTGATTACTTTTAGGTGAATTGTTGTTTCATCACTGGAATACTCAATTAGACTTAATACAGCTAAAGAAAAGGCTGCACAACCTTTACATTCCCTTGTCTGAGAACCTAGATGATAAAATACCCACTATAAAAGAACAAATTTTACTCAGTCATTACCTCATACTACTACACTGTGACACCAAATCAATAGCTGAATTAATTAATAGCAGGAACTGCAATGAAACACAGTAGTCTGCTGTCATACAAACATTTTGTTAGGTAGAGGTTTGGTCTTAGAACTGTCTGAAGCTGAATTGTCTTAGTCCTGGTCTACACACAGATTTTGTACCTGTATAAATATTTCAGTAAAAAAATTAAATAAAACATTTCCCTCATTGCAAAGAAGCCAACTAAACACCTGTCCCAATGTAGCAGAATATGTCGTATAAATCACTGAATGAATAGCTGTTTGGTATGAATATGGATTGCACTCGGAATTTGCATTCTAGACAGTCATTTTATTTCATAAGTAAATCCTTAAGTCATCCAGCCTCTAAATTTTTTTTAAGCTGCTTTTCAGCAAAAATGTTTGAAATAATCATTTTTTAAAATATGGACAAAAATCTTATAAAAATTAGGGATGTAAAATCCCAATTCATCAGTTAACGGGTTAAATGTTAAACCAGTTAAACATTAAACCTAACAACTAAATGGGGATCCACCGTCCAGGCTAAGGTTGCTGCCGCAGTAGCTAGCAGCATGCTCCCAGCCCTGCCAGCAGCAGAAGGCTCTTGGCCCTGGTGCAGACACTGGCTTTCAGCCCTGTTGGGGCAGTCCTCTGCCCATGGCAACCTGGGGGCTGCTCCCAGAAACCAGTTAACCAGTACCTGGTAAGCATCACCCAGTGAGAGTGATGCTTATGGGTAATAGCTTACCCTTTCACATCCCTAATAAAAAAATCCCATTGTTTTTCCTATTTTAATCTCAACACCACAATTGCAAACTGCATTCTGAATAGAGTTTCAGGTTGATGTGTTTTGAAAGCATCATGGATTTAACCACAGAAATACTGACTGACAGACAACAGAAAACTTAATATTCAGAAGTGTTGAGGACTCATGCAATTTGTCAACAACTTGCACGATTAGCCACTACACACTCTCTCTCCCCACAAGAGCAAAGTTATCAAGACTAATGTTCTGAATACAATTTAAAGTCATCTAAACAGCCCTTACTATACAGAAAAGTGAGACAATATGTTCTACATCAGGGTGGGCAAACTTTATGGTCCTTGTATATGGAAGTTGTATGGAGAGTCATGAACGCTCATGAAATTGGGGCTGGGGTGCAGATTCTGAGGTGGGGCCAGAAATGAGGAGTTCAGGGTGCAGAAGGGGGTTCTGGGCTGGGGCCTAGGGGTTTGGAGAATGGGAGAGGGCTCTGGGCTGGGGCAGAGGTTTGGGGCACAGGGTGCACTTACCTCCCCAAGCAGCTCCCAAAAGCAGCAGCATATCTCCCTTCCAACTGGCTTCCATGCAGAGGCAAAGAAAAGCAGCTCTGTACACTGCCCTTCTCCCAATGCCCTCCACAGGTGCAACTCCTGCAGCTTCCATTGGCTGTGGTTTCAAGCCAACAGGAACTGTGGGGAGCAGAGGCAGTGCACAGAGCCTTCTGACTGCCATTACGCATGGGAGCAGGCTGGAAGGATGATGTGGCACTGCTTCTACGAACTGTGTGGAGCAGGACAAGCCCTGACCTCAATCCCCAGTGGGAGCTCAAAGGCCTAACCAAGAGCTGATGGGCTGGATGAAGCCTGTTGGTCATAGTTTGCCCCCTTCTGTTTTACACAGATGCAGTAACAACTAATACCTTATATGATGCATTTACGCTGAATCACAATTAGATGCATTCATAACACATGCAAAGCTTAAAACAAAGTAATAAAAATGTAAAAGTCTACTTACCACTTGCTGCGTAATATTGACATTAGACTGTCCAAATGTTTTTGGCAGCAGTTGTTTTCCAAGTGTATTTACTGTAGAAGGATGAACAGCCACTAATGAAACTACTCCTGTAACAAGTGTAAATGCAAAATTTTAGGCCAACTTTTTTTTTTCCCAGTAAATCTAAATACATATTAATATCAAAGCTCATAAAATTAAGGGAAAGCTAGTTCTCAACAGGCAGCTAACCAAGCACTAAACCAATTTCTGAAGATGCATATAATAGGGACGTAAGACTAGACGACTATCCGTTCAGCAGAATTTTATCGGGAAATTGACTAGTGAGGTGACTAGTTGCTTCCTACCCTCCATCCTTGGTGCCTCTATCAGAGAGAGGCAGCAATTGGGGAGGGGGAGGGAGAGGGAGGGGAAGGGGGAGGGCAAGGAAGGAGCAGGAGCTGGTGCTAGGGGGAGCCAGCTTAAAAGCAAAAATGCACAGTGGAAGTGGAGTGGGGGGACTGAAGCAGTCTCTGTTCA